TGTCTTTATTTTTAGTTAGCACATACCTTAAACACTTAAAGCTGTAAGCTAATGATAGTTATATAAGAGCAGATGCTGCTGGTGCAATAAGCTGTAGTTTTACTCCAATGGATGATGATCTGATTAGTCGACTAGTCTGAGCAGCAGCAGTCAGTCTCCACAGGCACCCGTCTTAAAATAAACATGTTTAGTCTCTGTGGATAATTTCCTTCTACACAACACAGGTATGGGGGAGGATGTTTCTGTAACTCACCTGTTTTCATTATTATCACCTGTTTGAGGGGCGTGGCCTCTGACTGACAGGTGGATGATGACACAGGTAGCTGCTACCTGTCTGCTAGCTTCACCTCTGCACCGTGTTTGTGCTGTTGGTAACTTTTGGAGCGTTTCTAATGACATCACCTGACCAATAACACGGCTGCTGGGAGGTCACTGTACTAACAGACCGTCCATAAAGGCGGAGCTCCTGTTTGGGTGCACACTGAAATTCTGGGATTTTGATTGGTTGCTGCTGCACCATCTTGTCCAAATATGGTCATTCCTAGAAATGAAAAGCAACGTGGAGGCGGGAAAAATGCCGAAATTAAAATGGCTGAAATTCAGCGAGGCTGTCTGAGACGTACAGTCTGTGGTGGTGTGTTGATCGTTGCTATGGTGAAGGAAGGTGTCGCTGCAGGCTCAGAAAAACATTATTTGTCGGCTGGAATGGAAACAGGAAGTAGAACAATGGTGCCTTCCTGCTCCTACACAGTTACTGCGAGCTGATTGGCTTACAGTTCAGTGTGTGCTCACCTGAGGCTACGGGGTGGTTCTCAGCGAGTTTTAAACGTTCCTCAGACACCTGAAGGCACCGCTGTGGGGACCTCTGGGGGAGTCTGGCTCGCAGTAATCTGATTACAGCGTGAGACACAGGAAGTGACGCTCTCCACCCCCCTTTGAGCCCCCTGCTGTGAGGTCTCATACACTGAGGTTACGGCGCTGGCGTGTGTTGTTGCAGGTAGTGAGGGACACTCTCCATCATTTGTGTTGTTGTTGGAGTGACCAGAGGAGGCGGCGGAGCTCACAGCTGACTGAGACGCCATCTGTCCTCGCTGTCCCATGAGGAGAATTGGACATGCTCTGCCGCTCGCAGGACACATGAGCCACAGAGCTCACCTGCTCAGGTGTGTATGTGCAGTTTCATGTTGAGGTGAGTCACATCCAAACCAGTCAGCTGATATCGGCTCTCAGGTGGAAAGGTGACTGCTGCTTGGCTCTGATAGGACGCCTCGGGTATCATCGTTAGCTGTGAGACGGCCGAGCGCTCGGGTTTCAGATGATTTCATTCTGTGTGATAAATCAAACGCACCCTCTGCTTCTTGGCGCCGAGGTCAGGGGCAGGATCCCTGCATAGGAAGTTTCGGTGACCTTTGACCCCTTATAGGGTCTCGGGGTTCCCTCCGTTTGTTTGAAGCTAATCTCGCAGCACCGTCACAGGCCGCCATGCACTCGTTGCTGTTAGCTGTGATGTGACCTCTGCCACGCCCACGCTGGTTTAGGTTCAGGGCTAACTCTGGGGCAGCATCACATGATGCATTGCCACGACAGCTGATGCAGCAGACCCAACCTGTGTTCGATCAGAGTCAGTCAGCAGAAGTCGGTGCCTGTTGGCCAATCAGATGTCTAGAAATGGCGTCGGTGCTCCTGTTGGTGAGTCACGTCGACTCTGATTGGAGGAGCATCGGTAATTAAACGAGCAGAACTCGAGTTAACTCGAGTGCAGCTATGAGTGCGCTTGTCTGCTGGATGCCACAGGAAGTGCAGTCACATGATCACAGAACCTGCACCAGCTCAGCTTCATTTGAGGTCAAAGGTCATGGAGGGTTTTACTGTGTCTTTACTGCGTCGACCTTCAGAGTATCAGCAGTGTTACTGCTAGTATCAGTAATCCTAGTACTGCGCCTGAGCAGCTTATTTACTGGCACAGCAGTCACATGACCTCCGCCCTCACAGATCCATCCTACCCATAATCCTCTCTGAGTGGAGATAAACCTCTGTGGCATGTATATTGACACACACACACACTCCCGCAGCAGGTGGTCATCCTGACGCCGACCCTTGCCTCCGATTGGACGGTATTGATCACATATGTGTGATGGGTGCAGGATCCTTGTGGTGCATTGTGGGAGATGCGGTTTGCACCATCCAGCCTTTGTGATGTCACAGACACGGCACTGCGGCTGCTGGATTTCCCACCATGCCATCTGCTGCAGTTTGACCTTCAGCCGTAGATGAGTGAGCTGTGATGTCAGAGGCAGGTGGTCAGCTGCACTTCCTCCCAATCAGACGGCCGTGACGTGGGCCTGCGGAGCCTGCGAACTGACCTGGGATCAGCTCACTGTGTGTTTGGGCGAGTGTGTCTCTCAGGTGTTGAACTCCTCACTGTGATTGGTCAATGAGCAGCTCAACCTGCTAAATCAGTTCATGTTTATGTGAACACCTGTACACAGAGCAGGGCGATAGGACCACAAATATTTATCACGATATACATTTGAAAATTTGTGATAATGATATAATTGACACGAGACAAAATAGTTTACAACTTCACAACTTTATTAGTGCAAAAAAAAAAATCAATGTATTTTCACTGAAACAAGCAGCTGTTTTTTATCTGCATTAAAGTTGTAGAAAATGTAACAGTGTAATGTATGTAATGTAATGTAAATGTAAC